TGTTTAATCCGTTAAAAAAAAAAAAAGAAAGACTATTTTATATGCTATTAAGTAAGTAGTGTAGTGGTTACAAATCGGGCTGTGAACCGCAAGGTCAGCAGTTTGAAACTACCAGCTGCTCTGCAGGAGAAAGATGAGGCTTTCTGCTTCCGTAAAGATTTACAGCCTCGGAAACCCTGTTCAGGGTCTCTTTGGGTTGGAATGGTCTCGACGGCACTTAACAACAACAACAAGAAGTTAATAATGGTTCTTTCTTTGAACTCCAGTAGTCAGGTAATAAGGAGGGGACAAATTAAAAGACCAAAGTGAGTTGAAGATCATAATGTCCAGCCACCCCTGGTAACTGCATACTTGGTGAAGACTAAACCCTGAATCATTAGCGGTAGTAGAATACGGCTTTCATTTTCGATTTTGTTGTTGGAATGAAATTACTGTCTCATTCGAAACCAGTGTAAATGAAAGTTAAATTTTAATGTATGGTTTGCCTTTCCCACTACTGTTTCAACAGAAAAAAGCTTGGCCTGACCACAAGCGGGAATGCAAATGCCTTGAAAGCTGCAAACCCAGACACCCTCCAGACTCGGTGCGACTTCTTGGCAGAGTTGTTTTCAAACTTGTGAGTATAAAGCGCATGGAACTGTTTGGGTTCTAATTAAACAGAAGCACTTGAAGTTGTATTTATTATTCATATTTAGGCTGAAATGAAACCTAGGTTAAAATAGAAGAAAACTTGCTGTTTTCCTATTATCCCAGCATCAATGGCATTGATGCTAACCTTGTCGCCTCTCTGAAAGCCCTTTGATCTCTTTTAGGGAATGGTAACATAGGTTCTATATTTTGTATATGAGATCTTTTAGTAATGTCTGTTACATTGCCTTTGCAAGTTTTCTACTATGAACAGGGAAAATATGTCAACTTTTTGTTTGCCTATTCAATGGAAATTTTAATAGAAAATTGTTAGTTGTTGTTGTTAAGTGCCATAGAGTAGGTTCCAACTAATAGCTACCCTGTATAGGATTTCTGATGAGCCTCTGGTGGGTTTGAACTGCTAAGATAGTTAATCTTAATTGGATGAGTGTTATATATATTGTTTCAGAGCCATAATTTATTGCAATGATTTCTTCAGCTCCTTTTCCTATACTGCCAAAACAACTAGTGACTACTTTAAAATCCTACTCTGGTAAATCTTAATTATACAACAGATTTTGCCTCTCCCCACACTCCCAGCCAAAAAACCCCACAAAAAAAGTTTATAAGTTAACAGAACTTAAAAATATACAAGTATGGAACTTATAAAATAATTTTGCATTTGAAATTAAACTAGTTAAGCTGCAACTTAGATTTTATCTTAAAGTTGTTACTATTTAAATAATTCAACCTTAAGAAAGTAATGAAGAGAAAGAATATATAAAAAATAATTTTTCACACACCTTCATTTAAGGAGCTAAAGGTAATCAAACTAATTAATATTCATTTATATATTATACTGCTTGAAATTGTTTTTTGGTGTTTTCTCCTTTTCCTTCACAGATGGGAGAAACAGCCTCTGAATCTGAGAAACTTTACTCATTCTATGATCTAGAGTCAAGTAAGTGATTTTCTATCATTTATATTAAAAAAAAATGGAGTCCTGGTTTGGTACTGTGGGTTAATGCACTGGACTGCAAGGTTGGTTTGAACCACAAAGTCAATGGTTTAAGCTCACCAGCTGCTCCTCAGAAACCCTATAAAGGGTTGCCATGAGTCAGAACTGATTCGACGGCACTTAGCAACAAAAACAATACTAAAAAAAATAAATTCTTATCATTATTTCATGAGCTGGTGTATGGCTTTATGCTATAACATTTTTCTTTGTCTTTATTATGTGAGGAAAATCTAACAAAACTTTTTTTATACTACTTTTTAAAAAATAAATAATTCTTGGTTATTGTTGTTGCGTGCCGTCAAGTGGATTCCGACCCATAGCGGCCCTGTGTAGGGTTTCAAGGGGCAGCTGATGAGTTTGAACTGCCGACCTTGCAGTTCAAACGGCTTTGCAGTCTGACACATTAACCTGAACACCACACAAGGAGTCCTGGGGTTGGTCAAATAGGAGTTTGTGAAATGCCATGACAGTGTGAAGGCAGGAGAATGTAATCTTTAGTCCATTTGACAAATTGCTTTACCCTATTTATCTGTCCCTCTTTCCATTCTTTTCTCTCTTGGTTTTCTTTCCTGGTTTCTTGTTGATGTCAGGGAAGAATGAAGTAGTGAACAGGGAGTTCTAGGAAACTTTGCATTTATTGGTCCTTTAGATAAGGAGTCCTGGTGGTACAGTAGTTAAGCATTTGACAGCCAACCAAAAGACTGGTAATTAAAACCCACCTGCCCGTCTGTGGGAGAAAAGTGTTGCAGTCTGCTTCTGTAAAGATCGGTGGTTCCAACTTGTAGCGACCTTATATAAGGTAACCGAGGCTTTAAATCTTTATGGGAACAAAGCCTCATCTTTCTCCCACAGAGTGACTATATTTGAACAACCAACCCAGCTTGTAATCCACTACTGTACTGGAGCTCCTTGCTGTAAAGATTACAGCCTTGGAAACCATACGGGGGCAGTTCTTCTCTGTCCTATCAGGTCACTGTGAGTTAGAATGGACTGGACAGCAACTGTGGGGTTTGTTTTTTTTCCGGTTTGGTTCTTTAGTCATTGATGGAGGTAGCAGATACATTTGACATAGTCTCTCTAACAGCATTGAGAGTTCTTCTCCTGAATTCCTATGTTGGGTGACTGAGCTGTTGGGATAACTGACAGTTTATCTAAGTCATGAAAAACAAACAAACAAACAAGCAAGCAAGCAAACAAACAAACAAACAAAAGCAAACAACCCTTTGTTAGAGAGTTGATTCAGACTCAGTGACCCCATAGGACAGAACAGAACCACCCTATAGGGTTTCCAAGACTATAGTCTTTATGGAAGCAGATTGCAACATTATTCTCCTAGTGCTTAACCCCTGTACCCAAGCAAATGTAGGGTCTATTCTGCTTTCATACTGGTACATATCTTCTTCAATGACGTTGTAAATGATTTCAACCTCAAACCAGCCAGAGCTTATAAAATAAATTAATGATATGGTTTAATATTTCTGAATGGAGGCAAATAAGATGGTGAGGTGCAGACTTATGGTTATATGATCATAAATGCTGATGCTAATGGATATTATTTAATATATCACTAAGCTAATTGTTCTGTTGAACAAGCAATTTGAAGAAAATATGTAGACCTGACATCAGTAACAGTTATACTATAGTTCACCTTGATATATGTTTTTGAGTTTTAATAGAGAACTGATTAGTCATATTTTCTTGTTACATCACTACTAGGTAATTGACATATTATATGGAGTTTTAAGGTAATTGACATCTTGTAAGAGTTCTATTGTTTACACTAGCTCTGTTCAGTAACAGTGTCATACACTCTGCCTTAAGTGAACTGCTTGCAAATGTAATTTAATTATACTCTCTTAGCCTTAATACTCATTTGTGATACACTTGGAAATTAATTTTTAAGCGGGTGATACTGGCTTTGGAGTCTTCTGTTTGGATTGAAGCAGCACCATATCTTGTTTATTTAACTGTTGTTGTTGCTGTTAAGTGCCATTGAATCCATTCTGATTATAGTGACCATGTGTAGGGTTTCCAAGGAGTGACTGGTGAGTTTGAACTGCTGACCTTATGGCCTTATCCTACAGCACCCCATCAGGAAGTCGAGATTCCTTGGTTGATCCATGTTTTCTACTCGATGTGCTTTTGTTGTGCCTAATTTCAATTTATTGAAACTTTCTGAACTTTTTATTCTCACTTTATCTTTTTGCTACTTACCTACTCATCATGACCAATTTAACTGTAATGAAAATGTTTGCTTAAATTGACTGACTTACTAAGAATTCATAGTGTTTTGTATGTATGTACAAGATAATGTATAAAATCTGGTATCATATACTTTTTTAAAAAATGTTTTCTTTTTTTAAAAAAAAGTTTTTGTTGTGAATTGTGTGAAAATTTACAGGGCAGCTCTACATTCAACAAATCATGTACTTTGTTTCATTGTAATGAATATAATCCCCTCCA